GTCAGCTTATACTATATTAAAATAGTAGTCTAATATGTGTAACATTTTAACTCAGATTATTATGACTAGTTTTCTTAGTCATTTTTGTATTTTCTATGCATTTTTTTCAACAAAAACTGGTACTTCTATCAAAACATCAAAAACAACGTTGAATTTGACTTTTTACTCTTATTTTTAAGCCCTTTTTTCTAACTCAGATTTTCCCAAAATCATCAATTTTTAGAAAAATGAGTCGATTTTCAAGTTTTAGCCGTTGAAGTTTGTTGAGTTTGAAAAACAGCCCATTGAGGTCTTTTCAAAAACACAAAAAAATAAGAAAATGACCTGTTTTTAAGACCATTTTATCTATTGAAACTTTAATTTTGTATGGAAACTACCCAATTTTTTATAGTCTTAAAAATGTGAGCCAGATTTTTATGCCAAAAATAAAGAAAACTACAAAGTTTTTTATGATTTCTTTAAAAATGTAAGCCATCAGGGAATCCCCTAGCTGATGTTAACAAATGACAAGGGACATAATTTTGATTCTATACAGAATTGCCAACATGAAAAATAAAGATGGGTTGTAGGTAATATTCGTTGCATACTAATCAAATAACTAAATTTATTTAAACATCAAATTTCCCAATTCTTTTAAGTTTTAACTCAGATTATCATGACAAGTTTTCTTAGTCATTTTCCTATTTTCTAAGCATTTTTTTCAACAAAAACCACAGTTTCAGTTGTTTGTTACGTCTGGCTCACATTTTTAAAGAAATCATAAAAAACAGGGTAGTTTGGCATAAAAATCTGACTCACATTTTTAAAAAGACCATAAAAAATAAAACAGTTTCCATAAAAAATTGATGTTTCAATAGATAAAATGGGCTTAAAAACAGGTCATTTTCTTATTTTTTTTGTGTTTTTGAAAAGACAATGGGCAATGGTTTTTTAAACTCAACAAACTTCAACGACTTAAACTTGAAAATCGACTCATTTTTCTAAAAATTGATGATTTTAGGAAAATATGAGTTAGAAAAAAGGGCTTAAAAATAAGGGTAAAAAGTCAAATTCATCGTTGTTTTTGATGTTTTGATAGAAGTACCGGTTTTTGTTGAAAAGATTCAAAAAAAATAGAAAAATGACTAAGAAAACTAGGCATAATAATCTGAGTTAAAAAAAATTAAAATTTTTACAATCGGGCCATAAAAAATTCTACAGCGCCTGCAGTTTTTTAAAAATCATTCTGTATAAAAAATATCGTCCAATTAGTTGCAAATAAGTTTGAAATTGTCTGCTTGCTTTACACTTTTTTTTCAAAAAAAAAAAAAAACGCAATGTAGCGCAAAATCTATTGAAAACATAATTCAATTTTTATATTTTGAATTGGACCAAAAATATTGCCAAAAAAAGAAATATACGTCTTTGGGTTCAAAAGCCTATCCCGGATTATTAATAGTATTATTTACAAAAATTTTTATTGTGCGTCAGACATACGTAAAATGTGCTTAAAAATCGATTTAAAATATATTTTTCAAATTTTCCGATTATTAATTTGACCCACCACAGAAAATTTTGAGACAGAAACTCTCTCTTTTGGCGACTTTATTTAATGATTCCCTTATATTTTGAGTACATACATTTATTTGGTAAAAAGTAAAATTTTTGTTGTAAATTATTAATTATTGCATATGGTTTCCTATTATAAACAACACGTAATTTAAATAGCGAAAGTAGAAACCCAATGCGACAGAAACACAAATAGAGTCAATTACTGTAAAATCGCTTCAATAACTTTGATTGATTCCAGGACTTTCCATTTTTCTTTAAAAAAATGAGAAAATCCCTCTGGTTTTTGAAAAAATTAACAGATCCAAAACCAGAACTTTTTTGTATTTGTGGCGCCCGAAAACACGTTTCGATTTAAATGACCAGTTGATAATTATTTCACTTGAATGAGCAATCCGGCTTTCTACAAAAACATAAAATTATTGATGTCGCTTGCATGTGAAAGCGAAACTTTCAATGAGATCAACAGATTCATCCGAATTTCGAACAATTAACACAAAGATTTGTTTTTTCAATTTTGGAATTAGAAGCAACTTTCAATTTTAGACATCAATCAATTAAAGGTCGTGAAAATACTTAATGTTGCCTTAATATCGGAATAATTGGAAAATATTATGATTTACAAGTTGTGATAAGTTCAAGATGCACTTGTTTATTGCACAATGTGGGAGAGGTTAGAAGATGCAAAAGTGAAACTGAAATTCCATAATTATGCAAAAAAGTGGGAGAATTTGGGTTTGAAAAAACTTACATCACAACGCTGAAATTTATGGATTATGACTTTGCGATTTTTTCTATTTGTTTTTTTAGCGCCGCCAAAAATAGCCTCGAAATTAGAACGGTGATTATTAATTAATTATTTTTTAATGTGTAATTCAGAAAAATTGATGTCTTTTCGAGTAAGATCCGACCTTGCTAATCAATATTATACTAATCAATGATCGCATACTTTTATGGAATAAAATGTGGAAGTGAAGGTCTTGTTTCATTTTTAAATATTTTTCTTCCAAACAGATTTATTTATTCGAAATAATTAGTGCTACATTCTTTACGAAGAGTTGCTTTGAAGTCACTTAAAATGAATTTATTTTTTCGAACTTTGCTAATTGAAAAATGAGACTACAATAATCTTCTCAAAGAAGTTTGAATCCGCTGGGAATTAATTCAAATGTAAGTCTGAAATGAAAATTGTTATAATTTTTTTTAACACTTTTGGTAGGTGAAATGTCTTCGGATTTTTTTTTCTTTTGTAGCAAATCGAAAAGATTAAATTGGATTTAGCAAACTTTTTTTTTCGGTTTTAAAACGTGTTGAAATGACCTGAAAAATAAAAATATTTAATTTTTTGATTTTTCTTAATTTTCTCGGTTTTTAAGCGGCAGAAACAAATAAAAACTATTAAAAATAAACCATATTACACTTTCAAAGTGCGATTTTGTGATTTATTGTATCCCTTGACGAAATTTCTTAATCAAAAAGTGAACAAAATTTATTAAATTAAATGCAAGTGTGAATCAGGAAACTTCTACTTTATGAAACCCAAAAAATCGTTAAAAAATGTCGAAAATTGCCATAATTTTTTTTAGATACTTCCTGTAGGTGAATTGACTTGGATTTAAAAAAAAAA